CGTGGCCCTTGTTTTCCTCCCTTGGCTGACGTCTTCCTTGCTGTTTTTCCATGCTCTGCATAAATCTCTCCTTGGCTGCTCCGCTCAGAGCTGCGACCATCGCGTCGTACCGTGCCGTCACCTTCTGCCTGCCCGTGGTGCCTTGGCATGATTCTATGTTCACCTGGCTTTGCTCTGCTCCCCTTCCCACCGACCCCTCCTTGCTGTGGTGTTCCCTCTTGGCTTTTCCTTTCCAAATTTTGGGCTGGTTGCTTTCCCTGTAAAGATGCTTTTTGGGGCTCCGAGTAGTGCTCTTGCTAGGCCCGTGTGCCATCCCTGCTCCCATGGTCCTCTCCTGCTGTCCCCATGGCTGCCATCCTCATTGCTCTGAATGCGCCCCCTGAGGCTGTGGAGGAGGGAGCTGATCCTGCGCCCAGCAAGGGCCAGAAGCTACGGGAGCGGGGAGGAGGGTGGCAGGGCTTGGCCCCAGAGGTGGTGTCAGCTCCCAGAGCGGGGAAAATGGGTTTCCCTTGGCTTTGGGACTGATAGATGGTCCGTGGTGCTCTCAAGGTGCCCTGCTGCAGATCCTTGCTCCCCAGCGCTGGCATTCCGGGTGCGGTACCGAAGGAGACCGATGGACATCGTCCTTTTTGCCCTCGCCGCCACCGCCACCAGCGTGATGCCATAACGCATCCCGTAGCCGTCCGGCGTTAGCAACGGGGGTCTCTGTGGTGACCCTCCAGCACGGTTATCACCTCGCAGGTTGAGGCTTTGAAGCTCTTTTTCCCTTTTCTTGGAAAACGTGCCTCCGCAGCGAGCGCGGCCAGCTGAGAGGTTTGTAGCTGAGCCTTAAGTTAGCGCAGGATTAGTCTGATCCCTGGGTAATGCCTCGTCAGGATAAAGCGTCTTGAATTGTAAAGCCAAGGAAGCCCAAGAGGGCAAGATGCCTTTGTTTCGGTTAAATTGAAGCGTTTTCTTGACAGTGGCCGGGATCGCTCATATTTTTCTTCCTTCGTTCTACACCTTTGCCTCCAGCTCACAGCGTTGTGCGCGCCCTCCGGCTCTTCCAGCGCCATCACCCATTGCAGGAGGGGGCTGACAACTGCTTCAGCCACCGAAATCCTTGGAAAAACCCCCTCTGAGGTGGAAAGGTTTCCCATGGGCCACTCACGCCTTCCACCCTCTTTCACAGCCCAAGCTGTGGGGCTTTTGCCTTGCCCTCTGCGGCGTGGTGGCCCACCATGAATCCTTCGGATGTGCAGGGCTGCCCGGGGCTGTGCTCCTCTCCGCCTTTGCTCGTGGTGGTGCCAAGAATCACACAGGGCTGTTTCTTCTTCAAGCTGATGTCTGAGCCTTCGGCGCTGATCCGCTCTCCCATCCCCGTCTTCGGGGCCCCCACGTCCCAGTCATCCATTTGCTGAGCCCTCGGTGCAGCGGATCTGTAAGTGGTGGACGTAGAATCATTAACCTTTCTCTTTTTGTGTCTTTCCCCACCTGAAGAAGTCGCTTGGGCTTCTTGGGCTTGGGAGTACGTGCAGAACACTCGAGGGGGGGGCTGCAGCTGGAGGGCTGAGCCGACTGCGAGCTTTGAGAGCAGGCAAACCGGCAGCGAGCCCTTTCTGTTTGCCTTCCCTGTAAATCTTTGTGTATCTGCTTGCTCACCTGCAAACCAGAGTCGTCTGCGGGTTTGACATCTGCTTTGAAGGAGGCTGAACCTGGCTTATCGAAGCGGTGAAGTTATTGTGTGATCTTGGCAGGCTTTGCTGCACGGAGCTCTGTGTCCAGTTCCGGGCTCCCTGGTTCAAGAAAGATGAGGAACTCTTGGAGAGAGTCCAGAGGAGAGCAACAAGGACGATAAAGGGACTGGAGCATCTCCCCTAGGAGGAAAGGCTGAGGGAGCTGGGCTTGTTCAGCCTGGAGAAGAGAAGGCTGAGAGGGGACCTCATCAACACCTACAAATATAGGGGGGCTGTGGAGTCTCCTTCTCTGGAGATCTTCAACCCCCGCCTGGCCGCTGTCCTGTGCCCCCTGCTCTGGGTGAGCCTGCTTGGGCAGGGGGGTGGGAGGGGGTGATCTCCCGAGGTCCCTTCCAACCCTTGCCGTTCTCTGATTCTGTGATTCGGTGTGAAATAGCCACCACAAATCCCAGCGATGGGCTGAGCACGTCACGCGGCGTCCCCTTGACACGACCAGAGGCTTCCCAAGCGCCAGCAGTGAGCGCGGGACGTGCCGGGCTCCCTGCTGCTTCTGGACCACATGTGGCACCAGCCCGGCGTGGCTGCGCGTTCCCCGTGGGTGCTCCGGGGGTCACCGCCCCGCCGGCCCTTTCGTGGCCGCACTCATCCTGCCCCAGCTCCTGGGTCCTCTCCTGGGAAGCGGGGACCCGACAAAGCCATGCCCTGAGGCTGCTCTGTCACCTCCTCCTCGCCGGGCTGGTGAGCATCTCCACCGCGCTCCTGCTTCCACCGTTGCCTGCTTCTCCCTCTCCAGATAAGCAGTTCGCCACGCACCATCTGGTGATTTTAATTTTCCGTAATTTGTTTCCATGTATGTGTAATTTGTACTTTCATTAATTGCGCTGCTGAGTTTCTTATTCCATGAGGGGAAATCATTGTGGTTTTTCCCCTCTGTCAAAGCTATTTTCGTTCTTCACACAAATGAGCGCCTTTGTCCTTTGAAGTTTGCTCTCTGGGCGACTCTCGCCGAAAAAGAAATTTTTCGGAAG